GATAAAAGGCCGATCGTGAATAGACGGTTTGTTCGACGAGGGAAAGATCGATATAATATCTGGCCGATCGTTTCCTTAACTCCGTGGTCCTCTGCCTCGCGGTACGTTCCATAAGCGCACACACACACACACGCGCGCGCGCGCGCGCACCTGTACCTGGTCGAACAAACGTTTTAATAGTACGAATTTCGAGTCACCTCGATGCGAAGCGCTTCGACGAAGCCATTTCGCGATACAAAGGTATAAAATTAACAATCATAGCGCACGTTCCGTCTCGTGAATAATATAATTCGTGCTTTACACCGTGCTATAGAGCGACATTGCGTACTTTTCCTTCGCGAAGAGGCATCGCAAAAATAAATACGACGCCGGAGCAAGGTATTCCTGAATGTACGTAAAACCTTGAATCGAGGTTACAGTCGAGGTCGGGATCGGTCGATTAACGATACTCCGTGGTTGCACCGTATGTTTGCGATTTTTCAGTTACTTAGTTGCCAAGCTAATGCCATCGGTCACGTTACCGTTTATCGTTCTTCGTCGCGTTCGATTTCCTCACGAAACGAACCGTATACGTTAACTTCGCACGGCACAACAAGGATAAAGTGACTTCCTCCGACGATAATCAACCTTACGCCGTGGTAGCTTGTTTCCCTCGACGCTGTGCAACCACGGAATTTCCCGGGAAAAGATAACGGGGACCGAGCGAACGGATGATCGACGAACCGATCCTTTTCGGCTCCTACGAAATCCAAACGGACACGCGAACGTGTTTATACGTTATATCGGCCAATCCGAGTGTTATAAGTTTGCACGTAAAAGCACGATGCTTGTTTCACCTCGATGGCTGGCGTGCTCCAACTTCCTTCCATACACCTACGTCCGTATAATAAAGATTTCGGATAGATTTCGCAAAAGTTTCGTGTCCTACCACCGATCGTACACCTATGTACACGTACGCGTGTGTGCACATACGCGGGGGCAGGCGCGCCAGCGAGTGCGCCTAAGTCGTGTGACTATTCGTTCATACGCGTTTATTATTTATTCAACGATGCATGTCGAAATGTACACGAGCATGGATATTCCAACCGATACACGCACGCCCGTATGCGCACAATGACAGCGCAAAAGAAGAGAGAGAGAGAGAGAGAGAAAGAGGGAGAGAGAGAGAGAGAGCGCAGGAGAGGGAGAGGAGAGAGCGGGGTAGGGAAGGGGGAGAGATGGAGAGAGAGAGAGAGAGAGAGAGAAAAAATACACGTACCTGACAACATGTAATCCTCTGCTCTTCCCTCCGGAGGCATTTATCTGCATTATCTTCCTGGCGGAAGACTTCTCGTAGCGACTACGTCTGATAAACTGGTTGCCACCCCCATCACGAACCAGCTACCGATCCTTGCGATACCATCCACCAAGAATACACACTACACACTATTCTGTGCGAGCAAACGAATCTCCCCTTCTCCCTCTCTTTCCCACCCTCTTCCCCTTACGCCCTCTCTTTCTCTTTCTCTTTCTCTCTTCCGCTTTTTTTGCTCTTCCGTTCTTCCTCTCTTCCGCTCCCTTGCCTCCCTTTCTTCGCCCCTTCTCTCTCGCGTCCCCTTTGGCCTTCTTTTCTCTTCTTCCTGGTCAATCTACTAGCATCGGCAGATTGGTGGTCGCGATGCGTAGGAAGAACCGTGGTCTACGCGATCCTCTTCTCGCTCCGCGAGGGATTTACGGGCACGAAAACTGCGCAGAGTGACACAGGGTCGCGCAAGATGAGAACGGCCGGATCGGATCGAGAGCGAACGGGATCCAAAGAGCGGCGATAGGAGCGTAGGTATAGGATCGGTGCGGAGAAGGAGGAAAAGAGCGAAAGACGGACCGGTCAGTGAGGGCGGTCGATAGGTGGTGACTTTCCGAGCCGTGGATTTGTAGCAGGCACGTTGCCGAACAACAGCACGAAAGAGCGATATTTGAAAAATATGATCGAGGCAAGAAAAGCGCGACGAAGAGAAGAGAGAGAGAGAGAGACACGCGAGAGAGCGAGCGCGAACGAGCTGACCGGGCGAAGAACCGAATGTTTCGCAGCGGTAGGGAATCGAACACGATCAGTCACGTTCGCCGGATGTAGCGCGAATAGAGGGTTGGTCTTGCGCGGCAGCGCGCTCACGCGGTCATCCGGTAAACTGACAGACCACCCCTGAAAGACCTCCGAACTATCAGCCTTCCCACCCTGCCCTCTTGCGGCTGCGCGTTCTCGTGAACCCGCTGTCTCTCACCCTGGTGCCGATGTGCTCTACTTCTCCCACCACCACCATCACCACCACCACCGACTCTCTAGCGATGGCCCTTCGATATTCTCTCCGTTGCAAGTTTTCGAGCAACTTGCTCCTACGAGCACCCGTCACTCTCGGGAATCTTCCTCGAATTTAACCCCGCATCGCCCACCTCGTCTCTCGATTAACGCGATACATCCACTCTCCGTTCACGCTCCTTTGTTATTCGATGATAATCTAATCAGCGCGATTAAATTCCATTATCCAAAGCACCTACGTTACCTCGATTACCTCGAGTAGATTACCCGAGTTACACAGAGTGTCTAACGAGAATTCGGAACGTTCCGATGCGTCTCCAAGACATCGCTACGTAGCAACCGATTCTCGTCCCTTATTTCCACGCCCCGTGAAAAACACCCCACCAGCCAGCCACTGGAAGGAAGCTCGATCGTATCTACCCCGTGACCCCGCATACCAGCATTCCCCGTTAAAAGGCTTTCCACTTTACTTCACTCCCGATTCTTCTTCGCTCACTCGGTCATCCTTCGGGAAAAGACTTTTTCTTTCTGGAACACTTTGAAAATTGCCCACCGCCTAGCCAGCCTATAGTCCAACCAGTTATCCTCCAAATTCCCAAACCAGCCATCCACCTATCCAATTGCTTCCTTCTTCGCTCCCTTCGTTTTTCTCCAACCATCATCGAAACATGTGCAAGCTATCGTGTCTTCCATATTCCACAGACGATATATACCTGTGTCCAGTTTTCGAGATTGCTTCCGAACGCGCTTTAAACGCCGAAATTATACGGTCGTATCGTTGTTAATCTCGTTTACTCTACGTCGACGAAATCATCGATCACGTTTAACTCTCGACTTTTATATTTATCAGGAATCAGTGAAAGAGGAACACTGCGATAACTCGACGTCGTATTTCGGTATGTAGGAATAATAGTTTTCCTCGCGATTTAGTCCCGTAAACAAATGCGTCCCACGTTCGCCATTTTTGCCGCGCTTTCGACATTCGGTCGATCGTAATTCCTTTTAAGCACGCCAGATAGAGCCACTTAAAATCTCACGCGCGTCAAATGCAATGGCAACGTTTAAATGCTACTTTTATTTATCGAAACTTGCTATAGAATTCGTTTATGGTATAATTAAATTTCGAGATTATCCATCTTACAAGTGTCTGCGTAATTTTTAACCAACTGTAAAAAATAACCGTCGACGAGAAACGTATGCGTTTAAAAATATTTGTTCATCTGTAGTTGTTAATAATTCAATTTTTTACGACACGATTATTCGATTATAAAATCGATCGCTCTTTTAAATGCCGGTTTTGATCGTATTCGTATCGTTTGCATGTCCGTGTCGTATAAAAGGATTCCTGCAATATCGTTGTCTGAAAATAAAGAAATTATTTTTACGCAATTTTGTTTTATTATTTCTTCTTTTCCTTTCTCTATGAAGATTCAGCGGATAAAACGAAGAAAAACCTTGAGACCAATATCAGGAAATGCAAGGATCGACATAAACTATGTCTGTAAATATTAAAAGTACATGCAATATACATGAATGCAAAAAGTGAAACAGTTTTATAGTCGATGCAACCATAAAAGAGTTTGAATATTATATTTTACGTAAATTTTCATTCATCAACCGATCTCGATTTAACTTTCTAACCATTTGAATTTCAAATGCTACATACATATGAAAGGATTCTGCGCTTTTTATTTTACACAAACTTCTTCATCCAGTAATTGATCTTTACTCTTCGAGAGTATCATTATCGTTTTAATTTCCTTAATTTTTAGTTGCGTTTACTCGCGAGTACGACATACACGTGTGTGTCTCTTTAAGAGAATCGTTTGCTGCATTCTTTGCAACTGCATCGATGTATACTTTGCAATTACTCATGTAGATTACCTTTGATGACGTCATCCTCGAGACGACGCCCTACTTTTGAACAGGTATTTAATATCCTGACCTTGGAACTTTATGTAACATTCGACTATAAATAAATCCAAATACATCGAAAAAAGGAAGCAAAAAATTAAATAGAAGGAATAGAACGAATAAAATATTCGATATGAAATTAAAATCACATTTGCATTTCGAGCGTTTAAAAATACTTTCGAGTCACTATCCTAACTAATCAGCCGTCTTTCCACGTAGGCTATTTTCTCGAATAATTGCGTTAACATTTTCGTACAACTTTGAACCCGACGTGTGAAGGTGATCGGTAAACGAAACGAAAGCAGAGGTATCCTTGCGACTAATCGTTTCAATGATTCGCAGTATTAGCTTTAATCATCGATTCCCTTGAAGAATCATCTATCGGCCGAGTAGATTGTTGATATTCGTCTCGTACGCACGTTTCGTTCGACCGCGTCATTATTCCTTGACCATACGATACACAAGAGCTATCACGAATTCCAGGTGTCTCTCGTGCCGGACGCCAATCGTGTCGTGCAAATTTCATTTCGAAGTACCGAGGCATAAAGATCGCGGGAGTCGGTGGCGATGCAACATTGCTAGCAGCTTTGTCGAGATTCCGCGTAATTTCTGTCGGAATCGGTGAATAGTTTTTGACTATCCAGTCCTAAATCGAAGTAACGTTACGATTTAAACATTTGTAACTAGCAGTTTTGTGACAAGTGACACGGTGTATCGAGTGATCCTCCTTGAATTGTTACCATTCTCGCGTCCACGCTCTTTCACCGTCCTATAAATTAACCAAATTTGCACTATGTTAAGAGCGTTAGTAGTCGTCGTGTTTCTATCGTACGTGAACTGTATTCTTCCTCCTTCGATCGTGGAGACGGTATATCAATTCATTTCCGGAATTGCAACAGCACACGACGTCGCTATTCCCGATGAGACCTTCGTATCCAAAGAGTACGACTTTATCGTGATCGGAGCTGGTTCCTCCGGCTCTGTACTGACAAATCGGCTAACGGAAAATCCAAATTGGAACGTGTTGGTACTGGAAGAGGGCAAAGACGAGATTTTCCTCACAGACATCCCGCTATTAGCCCCGATTTTGCACATCACGGATTACGTTAAAGTGTACAAAAGCGAGCCGAGGCCTGAAAATGCCAACGGAACCGGTGGTTACTGTTTATCGATGAACGACGGTCGTTGCAATTTGCCAAGCGGCAAAGCAGTCGGGGGTAGCTCGGTAGTGAATTTCATGATATATTCCAGAGGATCACCGGCCGATTATGATGCCTGGGTTGCGCAGGGCAATCCAGGGTGGAGTTATCGCGACGTGCTACCGTATTTTCTCAAGTCGGAAAATTGCAAGCTGCTGGATCAAGATAGCAGGTATCGTTTTCAGTTAAAATATCAAAAATGCATCGTACCTTTACGAAATTCTCGTATTCGTTTACACGAGTTCTCGCGTGATTGATACAAGGTTAAAACCGACGATCAAACCGTACGAGTAAAATAGGATATTATCGGTGCGAGAGAGACGTTAAGGGTAAAGATAACGATAGTAAAGCGTCCTAAATGTGCTAAATGAAAATACACGAATGAACTCGCTAGAACTAGAGAGCGACTACGCGGAGTGTGTAGCGCGCCGATGTTTGCTCAACGAATCTTCGACAGCGAAGTTTAGACACGATGCACAACGTTTCAAATTGGATACTCGCGTCTGTTAGATTCGATTACGGCATTTCGCTTTTACACTTTGACACGGATTTTCTGATCAGATTTCATGGCCACGGAGGATATCTCGACGTTACGTCCTCTCCATACGTCTCCCCCCTAAGAGAATGTTTTCTCCGAGCTGGCGAAGAACTGGGATATGATGCAATCGATTATAACACCGACAAGCACATTGGTTTTTCAACGGTCCAGGTTCATTTACGGAATGGTCACAGGGTCAGTGCCAACAAGGCATTTTTGATGCCTGTTCGTGGCAGAGAAAATTTGCATCTGTCCAAATTATCGAAAGTGGCGAGGATCATCGTTGATCCAAAGACAAGAACAGCCGTGGGAGTCGAATTCGTTAAAAACGGGAGAAAACGGGCCGTCTTTGCGAAGAAAGAGATAATACTGTCAGCAGGTGACCCAGAAAAGCCTTAAGGCATTCCCACCAAGTTCTTGCGAAAACATTTCGGTGGTATTTCTTACTTTATACGCTCGCGTTTATTCAGGTACCCTGACCTCGCCGCAGCTACTGATGCTCTCCGGGATAGGACCGAAAAATCATCTCGAGTCATTGAATATCAACGTGATCGAGGATCTACCGGTCGGATATAATCTACAGGATCACGTCAGCATGTCGGCATTGACTTTTCTCGTAAACGAGAGCGTAACCATCGTCGAACCTCGACTTGTTTCCAATCTAGCCAATACCGTGAATTACTTTGTCAAAGGAACTGGCCCGTTAACGGTACCCGGTGGAGCCGAATGTATGGCGTTCATCGACACGAAGCAAGATCATCCAAATGAGCGGATAAAAAAGTTGCAAGTTAACGATAATAACTTTCGCGACAACAATCGTTTAAAAAGACACAACGATAAACGAGGTAACGTAAATTTTCTCGAATTACGCGGAACCGCGATTAATAGAGCACGGTGAAGATAGGAAATATTTTCATTTTTCAGCCTCCTTTCCACCAAACGTAACGTCCATCTCGGTGAATCCCGATTACTTGAAATCTTATCTAGACTCGATATCAAACGGAACGAAAGAAACGAACGTTCCCGATATCGAACTGGTTTTAGGTGTAAGTGCTCTAACGGGGGATATATCGGGCAGTTACAGAGGGCTCCTCGGTTTGACGGATGAATTTTACAAAGAAGTTTTCACCGGTTACGAAGGTTTCGATGCCTTCACCATTGTCCCGGTTCTCTTACATCCAAAAAGTAGTGGAAGAATTACCTTGAAAACTTCTGATCCGTTTGACGTGCCCATTTTCGAGACAAATTACTACGATCACGAAGATGACATCAAGACTATGGTTCGAGGCATTAAAAAGGTTATTACTTTCGGTATAACGTTTATCTTCATCTCGCCAGGTATTTATTTTCTGTTTGAGTAATTACAATTTTTCACAACGTAGGTATTTAGTACCCGCTACGATACTTCCAACCTAGCTACGAATATCGTAACTACTATCTTTCTCCTACCCCTACATTTACTACTATGTCCGCTATTGTTACACTCTCCAACGCGGATTTTAAAAAGGATAGAGTAGAATGGTTTTCCAAATCGAATTACGTGCTTCTACCTCTCGATAAATAGACGTGAAAGAGAAAATAATCAAATTACTTACACCCTTGTGGTTAATATATGATTAATATGTAACGTTTGTTATTGGCGCAATCGGATGGCTAAAAAACACAGTTCCCGTGATCCGATTTTTTAGATTTTTTGCACACGATTTGCCTGGCGTCTAAAGAACATAATGAAGCAAAAAAATTCGCATTTCAAAATTTTGCCAAAATCGGCCGCACCGATGTATCCATCGTGCAGTCTAAGAAATCGGCAAAAATCGGACCGATCAGAAAACCCGGATTTCTTTAGCTCATTCTTTAGAGCTGTTTTCGACGAATTTTTTAATGTATAAAACGTTTAAAAAAATCGAGGGATAGATCCGGCACGAATTTTCAAAGTCCGCAAGAGCAATTCACAGATCGGTGCAATCGGACTACTAAAAAACACAGTTCCCATGATCCGATTTTTTAGATTTTTTGCACACAAGTTGCTTAGTGCTTAAAGAACGTAAAGAAATAAAAAAATTCGCATTTCAAAATTTGGCCAAAATCGGCCGCTCCGATGTATCCATCGTGCAGTCTGAGAAATCGGCAAGAGTGGGCCCGATCAGAAAACCCGGGTTTCTTTAGCTCATTCTTTAGAGCTGTTTTCGGCGAATTTTTTAATGTATAAAACGTTTAAAAAAGTCGAGGGATAGATCTGGTATGAATTTTCAAAGTTTGCAAGAGAGATTTGCAGATCGGCGCAATCGGACTACGAAAAAACACAGTTCCCGTGATTCAATTTCGTATTTTATTTTCGTATCTATTGGTATTTTACTTCTAGTTTTGTTCATAATTAATTAATTTAACAAACATACGTGCCGTTCGTTTGTCATAAATTAATCATAAAGTAGCCATAAATTGATAATAAGGTAGTCATTAGTTAGTTATAAGTTAATGATAGTTTATATATGAGTTGATAATAAGTTTAAAAGATTTTAATGATCAGTATGTTCTGTAGTAATATGTAAATTATGGTGAATTAGGGAAAGTAAGGTAAGTAAAGTAAGTAAGACCTCCTGTCATGTTCTGTTATCCTGATACAAAATCGTAAAATCAGTCTAAATTTTACGGCCGAGCCGCACAAGTATTGCTAATGAAATTCTTGGAAATGACGCCATTTCTCGGAACTGTCTCGACGAGCGACCTCCTATCATATTATGTTCTCCCGATACAAAGTCGTGAAATCGGCCAAAAATTTTTCTTCGAGGATGCAAAAATATTGTCCACAGAGGCGGCAAAGGTACTGACCAAAAACGGCAAAAGTGTTGTCCACCGAGGCAGGAAAAGTATTGACCCAAAACGGCAAAAGTATTGTCCACAGAGGCGGCAAAAGTATTGACCAAAAACGGTAAAAGTATTGTCCAAAAGCGGGAAAAGTATTGTCCACCGAGGCGGCAAAAGTATTGACCAAAAACGTAAAAGTATTGTCCATCGAGGCGGGAAAAGTATTGTCCAAAAGCGGGAAAAGTATTGTCCGTGTAGGCTGCAAAAGTATTGACCGAGAATTCTTGGAAATGACGTCATTTCTTGGAACTGCCTCGGCGAGCGACCTCCTGTTATATTATATTCTCCTGATACAAAATCACGAAATTGGCCAGAACCCTTTTCTCGGGGCAGCAAAAGTATTGATCGAGAATTCTTGGAATTGACTTCATTTCTTGGAACTGCCTCGGCGAGCGAACTCCTGTCATATTATGTTCTCCTGATACAAAATCACGAAATTGGCCAGAAACCTTTTCTCGGGGCAGCAAAAGTATTCATCGAGAATTCTTGGAATTGACTTCAATTCTTGGAACTGTCTCGGCGAGGAACTTCCTGTCACATTATGTTCTCCTGATACAAAATCGTAAAATCGGCCAAAACATTCTCGCCGAACGATTCCAAGAAATGACGTCATTTCCAAGAATTCTTTGGACAATACTTTTGCGGCCTTGCCGTAAAATTTTCGGCCGATTTTGCAACTTTGTATTAGGGTAACATAACATGATAGGAGGTTGTTCGCCGACCACATCCAAGGAATTACGTCATGTCCAAGAATTCCCTGGACAATTCTTCTTCTGCTTTGCAGTACATTTTAATAATTTTACTTGCCTCATACTTACCTTATACTTACCTTACTTACCTTCCTTACGTACCTTCCCTTATCTGCGTTCCTTTCTTTACTTACAAGGAGAGTGCAAGTTTTTCGAGTCACCGCTTTAGTTGAAACCTTGCAGGTTTGTAAATATCGTCATGCAGTTTAAGAAAATATATCATAATAGCGACAACTACTAAATAGCTTTTGAGATATTTACGATTAAAGTTTTATTACTTCGATAATTAAAGATATATTTTCAATAGGTTCTCGTCGGAGTTGTAGATTAACGGTGATAGTGGAGAATTTGTATACTCGAGTACCGGAGTTCGATTCCGGTTCATAAGTTAGTATTTTTTCTTCAATCTATTTTTTATTTTATATTCATTTTTCGTCTATGAAAACATTGTAAATAAATTTTCTTAAAAAAATTTTTTTTTACCCTTTCTTAGGCCAGTATATATTTATTACTTAATAAGAATATTATACAAGAAAAACAGCTTTTATAGCAATCTTGTTTACTAGTAACTAATTATTAAATTAAACATTGTATAAGAATGTTGCCTATAATTCCAACTTTGCTGCGCAGCTATAAATGTTCACGAATTAATTACAAAAACTTGGAAATTTATTAATTTTCTACTGCCCAATAAATACAAATTTTACCGCCTGCGATCAGCGCCATCTATGATTTGGGCTCAAAAATGAAGAAAGTGATAGGAATATAGAATAGGCAAGGAGGTCGTCGAAGAGCTGGTCACGTGACAGACAAGGACAGAGAGGGGATAGTAAAGGATAGAATGGCTCCGGCAGTGAAAAATTATTAATTACTCAATTTTCGTAAACAATTTGTGAACTTTTATAATTTCATTGCAAAGCTGGAACTTCAAGCTACATTCTTATATAATTTTCGTAATAAAATTATATCTAAATTGTTAGTTATTAATTTTTGTTTTATGGCGTCTATGATTTCGTAACGGCGACCATC